GTACTGTGTCAGACATTTGCCATATTGTTTACAATGTATACTGTGTCAAACATTTGCCACATTGTTTACAATGTATAATGTGTCAGCCAGTTACCACATTGTTTACAATGAATAATGTGTCAAACATTTTACCACATTGTTTACAATGTATAATGTGTCAGACATTTGACACATTGTTTACAATGAATAATGTGTCAGGCATTTGCCACATTGTTTACAATGTATACTGTGTCAGACATTTGCCAAATTGTTTACAATGAATACTGTGTCAGACATTTGCCACATTGTTTACAATGTATAATGTGCCAGGCAGTTGCCACATTGTTTACAATGAATAATGTGTCAAACATTTACTACATTATTTACAATGTTTTATGTGTCAGCCATTTTCCATGTTGCTAACAGTGTATAATGTGTCAAGACATTTACCACATTGCTTACAATGAATAATGTGTCAAACATTTGTCACATGGTTTACAATGTTTAGTGTGTAAGCAATTTGCCATGTTAACATTGCTGTAACTATCAGTAATTATTTGCCATGTTTTTAAAAATCTGCCATGCCACTTACAATTCTTTCAGAGATAGTGTCAGTCTTATGCAGAATTACTATAAACAGGCAGTGCTATATGCAGTCCTTTGCCATGTTATTTCTGTTAAAAATCCTATGACCTGATCTAAATCATGTAAATACTTCTATTCTATGCAACTGACCTCACTAAATAACAGGATAATTAATCCAATTACAAAGTACAGCCAGGTAGATAGTTCTAAGGTGTTTTTAATTAGCTACAGGTTACACTCAGTTCACACCTATACTGGGCATCAATCCAGTAACCACCCTCATTATCCAGTCTCTTATTTGTTAATCAGAGGTGTATATTTCGATCATTTGACAGAAATTTTTACTCTTATTATTTACTGGTAAAAGGTTAGAAATGCTTGGTTTGGAACATAAACACCACCATTCAATAACTGGACTAATATTTGTAAATATATTAGGTCCTCCAGCTGTCATGGCTGTCACAATAACTTCTGACTAAAACATACTCTAAAATCTTTAGACATCAAATACCACTCAAGGAATACACTAAAACCAGGTCTGACATCAATTTTAAGCATAGCCAAACCTGAATGTGAAATGTTTATAGTTTTGAGGATAATTTTGAAATGAAAAAGCACTTAATTTATAAATGACATATACTTCAGAAATATATATATATTTATCGCACCTTGGATAAATTGTGACATTATGATTGGTTTAACGCCGTCACGTGGTGACCCCTATGGATCCGTATGGGGTCAGTAGATTTCATATGGGGTTCATGACGTCACGTTTACTATTAATGGCGACGTCATCGATAAATGTTTTTGTATTTCATTGCTTATTTTTATACATAACTTAGCAGAAAAAGTCCTGTGTGCGATAAATTGGTTATAGGGTTCACTACTAACACCTTACGCATCCATAGAGGGTTAGTATTGGCCTTTGGCCTCACCCCTATGGATTTTACTAACCCTCTATGGTTCGTACAGTGGTCAGTAGCTAACCATATAACTTATAATATTAAGTATGATTAAAAAATTATAGATGTTTTAAAAACTGAAGTATTCCTGATCTGTGTCAGTTTAACTGCTCTTTAGACCATACACTTATGCTAAACATCAAATAAGCTGAAACATATTTCCCAATAGAACTCCTTTGTAAATTTTGGAAGATTGCGGTTTCCTTCATAGATTATGGACTGGCAATAAACCTCACATACTATAATAAAGAACCATAATCTAATAAAATGTTTACATACCAGTTTCCATAAACAAGGTATATGTAAAATAACAAGCATTCTGAGAGTATTGCATGGCAATACATAGTCCCTTACTGGGTAAAAATTCATTATACTGGAACGAAAAGCTAACATGTTCTATAACTTGTCATGGTGTAAACAAAAAGAAAATATCAAGTCAATATCTTCAAGCATGACTAAAAACAGTGTGGAAAACTGATTAAATGAGTGAATTCCAAGGACCATAACTCTGCACAAAATTACCAGACCGAAACAAAATTTGAACTTGATCTGTATATAACTTGTCATGATAAAACTATATAACAATTATCAATCAATATCTTCAAGCATGATGAAAAAAAGTGTGGAAAACACTTTAACATTAGATATGATTAATAGTTCTCTAAAATTAGATATGATGTAATATAGTGTATATCTATTTTCAAATTATAATCAAATATAATTAATAGTTCCAAATATTTTTTCTTTTATTTGTCACAACTAATAAACATGATAAAGATTTGTAACTTATCTATAAAATGTCAACAATTTTTATCTACACAATGTAATGTAATACATGTAATATATACATTAATAAAAGTAGATTATTATCTAATTAAAGGATTTCACTTCATAATTTTTTTTTTATATATATATATATATATAGCATCCAGAAAATTAGTTTATACAAAATAACAAACAAACCTGCCAAAAAATTCTTCAAATAATTTACCAAAGAATGTCTTTTAAAAAATGAGTTATCTCCCTTTGTACAGAAATATGGTTTAACATAGTACTCTAACATTAGATATGGTCCAGAGTTATGGTCCATAACTCTGGACTAAATCATCAAACTGGAACAAAATTCGAACTTGATCTATAACTTGTCATGGCAAAACTATATACCAAATATCAAATCAATATCTTCAAGAACGAAGAAAAAAAGTGTGGAAAACTGATTTGCCGGACTGACGGATGGACAGACGGACGGACAGACAGACGGACAGAGTGCAAACCTAAAGTCCCCTTCAACTTCGTTGGTAGGGGACTAATTAAAAATTACATACCGTAAGCAGAGTCATCTTGAATTCAAAATCATGATTCATACTAAGGTCAACTATAAAAAAGGTTTCTTTGAAAGCTATGAAAATAATAACACTTTTCTGATTCCTTAAATAAACATGCTGAACCATCTGTATTTCCCACAGACTCCATCTTAGTCTAAATAAACTGTTAACACAGAGATATGTCTTACCTTTTTGTTATTTTGATAATGCAAATGTTGAAATTAAAATAGCAATACTTTAACATGTAAATTATGCAAAATATTCAAAGTCAATGAACCAAGACTGAAGGTACAGGGCCAAACAATCTCCATAGAAATGAGATGTGCCAATGCTTATACAACTGCACACCAAATACCGTTGACTTATCATAAGTCATTCCCTTTAAACAAACATAAACACAAACATTAACTTGTAAACTATGTAAAAGTTTCAAAGTCAATGAACCATGATGAGGGGGTGGGACCATATAATTTCCATAGAAATGAGACTTTTTTCACCATATATCACTGACTTAACATTAGTGGTTCATCTTAAACTGATCTAATCACAAACTTTTAACACGTAAACTAATAGATGCAAAACATTCAAAGTCAATAATAGACCATGACTGAAGGGGCTGGGCCAAATAATCTCCATGGAAATGAGATGTGCACTGTATACCAAATATCATGGACTTACCACTAATGGTCCCCTTAAACTAACTTAATCACAAACTAATACATGCAAACTAAGCAAAACATTCAAAGTCAATAGACCATGACTGAGGGGGCGGGGCCAAATAATCTCCATGGAAATGAGATATACCAATGCTCATACAACTACATACTAAATATCATTAACCTACCACTAGTGGTTCCCCATAAACTGACCTAATCACAAACTAATACATGTTTAAAAAGTAAAAGTTCAAAATCGATAGACCATGACTGATGGGTAGGGGCCAAATAATTACCATAGAAATAAGATGTTCCAATGCTAAAAGAACTGCATACCAAATATTATTGACCTACCACTAGTGGTTCACCATAAAACTGACCTAATCACAAACTAATACCTTGTTACGCTGCTGCCGCCGAAAACAGCATACCTAAGCAATACACAATGCTGTTGCAAATTGACCCCCCCCCTTTTTTTTGCTTTTGTGCAATACACTATGCTGTTGCGAATTGACCCCTCCCCAAAAAAAATTTGTGCACCTAAGCCTCGCTTTTTGACTCTGTCAAGGTGAGACAAAAAGTCAAAGGATTATAAAATTAACTTTCTACCTAATCTGCATTATAAGAATCAAACAATGCAGACATCCTTCATTTGTTTCAGGGATTGTTATTGATACCAACAAATTTCAAACAATTTTTTTGAGTCTTTCTAATGGCTCTTGTATGACTTGAAATCCCTCTGTATTTCTGAATGATAGCTGAAATACTTTGTCACATGTTTGTAGTTCTACATTTGAATGACTGTAAGTAAACCATGTCAACAATTTGCTTAGGACATGTAGGATTTAAGGTTTAAAGAACTTTTCTGTAAGGCTACAATATGGCAACTTAAAAGTGAAATCATTAACACTTTTCTAGAAAACAACAGGTATCAAGGGTATTAGTAGGTAAAATGCAGAAATAAATTCCAGGTTTAAAATAAAAAAGTTTTGGTGACTTAAAAAACTTTGTCCAACTGAGAAAGATATAAGATATACCAATGCTGACCCTTATTTCCAAAGTCATTTCTATGAACATGATGAAGATATATGCTTGAAGTAGAACACGATTAACTTTTCAAGATGATGCAATTCACATACCAAGCATACAATAATAATCTTCAAAAATTTTATGGTACATTCATATATGGACTAAATATCTGCATTTGAACTTCAAGCATTCATAATCCATCTTTATCTGTTTATGGTGTTCTGTACATATGTTAATGTTCTTTTAAAAATGTTTTTAAGGCTTCAGGCCTGAAGATATTTTCACTTGGTATATAAAAGTAGAAAAAGATTAACATGATTGTTATAAATATAGAAAGCTTTATGGAATATTTCTAATTTTTCGGGACCTGGGTGCTTGGTGGGTGCACATGCTTGGCAACTGCTACAGTTACATCGACTTGGGCCAGATGAACTACAAAACAATTTTAAGATATCAACACTTACCATGCTTTTTTATTGACTGACTTTCTAGGAACAGTAGCAAAGTTCATTCTGTTATATAGTGGTACTTTTACAGTGCCCACAGGTTCTTCCCACATCCTCTTGTAGTCTCCCATGATTCCAACCAGTTACAGAATCCTTTACACAATTTATTTCACTTTACAGTACTGCAAATTTTCGCCAAAAAACTTTTATTGTTTGTTTTCAGATCACTGTTCACATAAAAAATGTTAAATAAACATATTTTCTGACACAGGAAGTGTTGACTTTCTCACAGGCAACAAAAAACAAAAACCCTAAAATTCACCTTTTCAAACTTCCTTCAATCTCAATTTTCACAAAATAATATCACAATAAATATCTAAATATAAAACATGATCACTCCATATCTGAAGATGTCAGACAAAGAAAAAATTACATGTGATACCATCTTTCTTATCACTATGTCAGATCTGATGAAAAAATTCCACAATGTTGAGAAATTTTTGTGTAATCAGGTTCTAACAGGAGCCTGATACATCAATCATTGTTTGTTTTCCTTCTACATAAGTGTAGCATTTCTCCACAAATATATATTAATCAATGACAAGTCAATTTGGAGATATGCACACACCACACATGTATAGAAATGTTGATGTTCTGTTCACCAATTATCTCATTCCAGATCACATGCTCTTTATACTACAACACCTCTAAACACCTCTGCACACGGCTGTTCTGATGGTGGCAGGTGTTGGTCAGAGCTATAAATTTCAAATTCACCCTTTCACTGAGGCTTTATAAGATGATGTAATAATTACAGAATGTAGAAATTTAATCCTTCGACTTAATTAATTTTTCAAATAAATCAAAAAGTACTTTGTTGTTTGCACTTTTCTAATGGAAAAATCTATTAACTTGTTAAAATGTCAACAAGTTATGGCGCTAAAATCCATAAAACTGTTCAAAACTCTAAAACTTTATAGAACGTGCTTGGTAAAAATGAAAAGTGCAGTGCTATTAAAACAATCATCTAGTCTCTTCCATCAAATAAATGATTCAAATATTATACATATATAAAGTTCATAAAACAAAAATTTACATCTGGCATGTGTTGCATGTAATGTTCCTCTATTAATAGAATCCCTATAATATGAATGTTTGAAAATGACTTACAACTTGTATTTATTGCCCAAGTTAATTGGTACTCTCATCAATATTTATCATAGATTTCTGATATTAATCCTGTTTCAGTTGGCATTCCTTTGTGTCCATTTATGAAATCAATTATCTGGAACCAAATCTATTTCATGGTCTCAGTAATTGTCCAATTAGCATAATATAAATATCAAACTGTAGAAACTAGAATTTTTGGTATTGTAATTATTAAGTTCTAGTTACATAATTTTTATTTTTTAATAAAGGTGATTGACCTTCCAAAAAATATTGTTTACATTCAAATTCCTAGAAATATATCTGCTTGTTTATTTTCATTTATTTCTGCAGGCATGTTATGACCTTTGCATTATAACTGTTTACAATTCATTTTCTTATCTCATGAGGCACCATTGAGTGGAGCCTTGTAAACTTTTCTTACCAACTCTATGTAAACAAAATTTGGCATATCAAAGCAATGCCATGGCCAGTTTTTGTGTAATTTGTAAAACAATATCCTATATTACTTTTCAAGTTGGCAAATTTTTGGACAATTAATCAGTACTCTTATCAAATGAACATTCCTAAGACAAGCAATCATTAGTCAATTCTGCAATTTTCTCATTACTCAGAAATCTGTATAGATAGTCTTATCTAAAAAAACAATCTTGAAAGCACATGAAAAAGACTGGAATTTATTGTTTCTAAGAAATCAACAACATTTTTATGGACTGTTATCTTCTAACATCCACAAGGAAGATCTATAAAATGCCTCTAAATTTTGTCTGAACAAGTACATGCAGTTAAAATCGCATTGAAAAAGAAGTGAATAGTCCCTCAAAATTTTCCTGGCCTAGGATTTTCTATTTTTTCATGGAAAATCTGCATACATATAAATCTATACTTTTGCAGCTTAAAAGTTATCTTCGCCATGAAAAATATAGATTAAAATCATAGATAGGACAATTAAGTTATTCTATAAATGAGAACAAAAATTATAACATTGAAATTAAAGGTTACGAAATTGTAGTATAAAAAGGGATCTCCCTGCAAATGTCAAACATAGTTATATGAACGACTGGTAGTCACTTAGTCTACAAGCAATAATAGTACTATTATGCAACTAATTGAAATATATGATTTAATCTTTAAAACAGGAATCAGATAATAATTGCTCAACAAATGTCTGATTATTCAAAGATGAAGCTTTAGAATTTATACCTCAGAGAAAATCATATATCTTTTATTTTATTGATTGTCCAATAAAGCTAAATGTATATCTTCTATTTTGTATTGTGAGGGTTAAATGTGTTGAGAGACGATGTATGTTAACTTTGACTGACATAAAGCCAAGTAATTATGTTTTTTTCAAATGCAAATTTACTCATCCTGATTCATGAAGTTAATGACTTTTGTATATAATAAGAATGGAGGGTCATACTGGCTATCAAAGAATGGTGGTCGCCATCATGACTACAGGCGTGATTGGGGGCGAAGGGGTTAACCTAAACCTAACCTAACAACAAATCAATAAAACCATGACCTGAAGTAAACCAAGATCTCCTGACCTTACCTTAACCTTAAACGAAAGCCCTAAGCATGAAGTTCTTGGTCCCCTGAGGTAAATGAAGGCCATGAGTTCAGTGCTTTTTTCTGGAATAATTTTATTAAGACACTCCTGACCTCCACTTTTTGAAAATCCTGGATATCCACCATTAACATCTATCTTTTCTCATGAAAATGAACCTTAAATTTTCATTTTTCGTTGTTATTCAATGATGAATGTAAAATTATCTTATTTTCTAATATATTGACTCAGCATTGTTTATAATTAACCATAAAAACATCTCAGCTGGTTATAGTACAAGGTAAAAAAATACATACAGCTGTTTATCATCAATATCCTGGGGTGAATTAGTCATTGGAAAGAAGATTATCCCTCCCCATGATATTGGTCTATAATTATAAAATCAACTGTTGTTTTATTATTAAATTTGTTTATCTTTTCAATGTTCAATGAGGTTCTATCTAGTATATGGAGAATGTACCATGTATATCCAATCCCCAAAGGTATCTGTTGTATTCTCTAACTTTCATGCTATTTTCACATGTCTCGATTGTTGGGAGAAAAATATTCACCATCTCTAGAAAAAACTTTGTTCTTGGCAAATGATTAGTCAAATTTCAATTATGACGTCAACGTCAAATTTTCTTGATTTCTTCTTCTGAATTTCCTATTGTGACGTCATGAAAAAAGGCACCCATGCCTGATGACGTGACATATAAAGAACACAACTTTCTGAAAATCTTTGAAGAAGAAGGATAAACTTGTTAAGATATCATCTAAAAATCATTAGAGAAACAGATTCCACCACTATATCTCATGTATTACGATATTTCTCCACTCTCAATAGTTAAATTTGAAATATTAAAAAAGGCTGGGCAAGGCTCCCGTTATAAATTTTAAAATGTAACTGCCTCAAGTGGAGAAATACCTTCATGCAGTGGTGGAATCTATATTTCTTCAACTGTGTAAAGTTTTAATATCTGTTGAGCTGTATTTGAGGAGTTGAGCTTACAACATATTGTAATATTGAAGCGATTAAGTTTAATTATCTGCCCTTTTACATGTTGGACCAGAATTGAATTGTTTTCTGTACTTCCTCAACAGTGTAAACTTTCACTTTTTGCGCTTGAAATTTTAATAATATAATCTAAATATACACAAAAATAAAAATAAATCAGTTTTCATTAATGAAATTTTCATCGAAATCATGCCTGAGATAACATAAATAAGACGAGGAAAAATTTGAAAAAGACTGTTATGAAAAAACTGCTGTATGAATTTTATATTAGTACTTCATTGTTGATATATCTATGAATCAGTTTGATGTTAACATACATGTACAAAACAACCTTCAACTAACTAAATGTTAATTAATGATCACTGAACCAAGAAATGTAGGTCATATCATTCATTTGCCATATATTTTGACTAGTTCCTATCTGTAGGTATTCATGAATGAAGTCTCAAATAGAAAGCAGATGTATTTCAAACAGCCAAATATCATTAAACTTATATATATATATATATGCATTAAACAAATAAATTGCTAAATGAACAAGCTAAAAATATAAAGTGCAATATGATGCATTTTCAGGCTGTCAAACAAATGATGTTGATAAATTATTAATAAGATTTGAAATCAAGCGGATAGAGCATTCAGTATTTGCAACTATCTTTAACCCTGTTTCTGGAGCCTCTATTACATCATTTTTCTTTTAACAATGATGAGCTGTGTAACATTAACATTAAAGCTTCTTTAATAGCCATCTAAATTTTAGATCACTTTTAAATCAAAGTATAAGAAGATATAACTATACACCCAGCTGTTTATAGGGGTTTGTTCCTGAGAAAAACTCAATTTTGTTAATATGTTAATTTGTTAAAAGCTAGTCATGTAAGCATTCTGTATAACTGTACTCCACCTTAACATGACAGTATTATTATCAATGCACAGTGATTTTGACTTCCGAGAGTTTTGGGGAATGAGGCAGCAAAATATTCATTTAGACCATTATCAAATTGGACTTTTACTAATTGGATCTAAAGTTTTCTGAATTTCATTGAACAGAACAACATTTTACAGAGTTTTTTGTTATTATCTAACAAACCTTATGATACTGACAAAGTGTAAATTAAATAGATAATGACTATTGGAAAAAGAAGTTGCTAGCAATTTTGTACAAAGTATACCCCCACTCATTATTAGACATTGATTAAAAAAAATGTCAAACAGAAAGTAACTGACTGGCTATTCTGAAAATCACTTAAACAGTACAATATAAAAATAAGGAGATGAGGTATGATTGCCAATGAGACAACTATCCACCAAAGTTCAAATAAAGTGGATGTAAGAAATTATGGGCAACCGTATGGCCTTCAACAATGAGAAAAACCCACACAGTATAATCGGCTATAAAAGGCCTTGCATTATAAATATCAAACTACATATCAAAAAATTTCTTAATACAGAATCTGATTTTATTTATATTAAAGAAATTATGGACACAGTATGCCAACTAGTCCATGGGGAGGGAGGGGGAAAAGGGTTTAACATAAACCTCAATCCATTTACAATTTATATTCAATCAATTAAATGTGAAGTACGGTCTTGCAAGACCTATGAAAATCTATGGTTATCATACCTTGCTGGTTTGCACAATTTTTTATGATTTCCTTATGTTTCTTGTGTACTGTACTAACAATGGATACAATGTCTACAGAAAGGTTCTGACGCTTGTTATTTCATTATTATCATTATGTCAAACTACTTAAAGCTATGTTTTAAAGACAACATGATAGGTGACTGGAGAGTCAATTGGTCAATTTAAAAACATATCCACTGTCAGTAATATATATCTGCACTGTTAAATTGGTAACAAGCTCTTTGACTTGGACTGACACATTAAGAATATGGTTGGGTTGAACAAGTTTGTGAATGATCAACCCTCTTCTAACCTGGACATTGGTGTAACAGCACAACATACAAGAACAAACTATAACAAGAGTGCACACGCTGAAATGTCTCGCATGCTTTACTACCATTGATTTAATGTTGATAGCCCTAAATATAAAGTTTTACTACAAGTATCACATTAACTCAACATGATCCAAGAAAATGAGGTC